GAAGGTTAGAGGTAGGGGGGGTGCAGTCTCAGAATAAGGGTTTGGCTATTTGTGACTCAGATAAGGAGAAAATTTCTCCATTCAGAAAATCTTGTCTGTCTATGAAATTCTCCATGCAAGAGGAGTCTGTATTTTCAGTCATTTAGTCTATTCATAACTGAGGTTGGTAGACGTCCAGGCAGAAATGAAATCTCGGGATATATTGTGACTGATGCTTTTTCTATGTTTGATTCAAATATAGCTGAGTGAAATTCAGGTATTGTTCTCAAACAATACTCAATGCAAGATGGGATCATAACACTGGTCACTCCAACTTTAGCTTACATTTCTAGGACAGATGGGAAAAGTTTTAATGGTGCACATGAATGCGTTGCTGCAGCAAATTCAGCCCAATTTGTCAAGAGCTCATTGAAAATTGGAATTTGTTGTTTTTGTGATCCTATTTTCCTTTTGGATTTTGAGGCACAGAAACTGCCTGTGTTGTCATCTAATCTTACACTTTTTTTTCTTTTCTCCTGACACAGATTTGGAGATATCTTTGCACATGCACTCTTGCATTGTGTCTGCCTGCAGATGTACAGCTATATTATTGATTCTGATGGTTTGATGTTAGTGTTGAGGGGAGTTCAAGTTTACCTCTGAGTTAGCCTGAAGTTTACTCAGCTCAGACTGGAAAGTAAATATTGAGATGATTGAGCAGCTATAATGTAATGCCCAGACTTGATCTATTATTAGAGGTAATCAATTGTAGTAATATAAACAATACAAAATTATCTGTTAAATAGAGGGATGTGGAGTGCTTGTGTATTAAGCATAGCAAGTTAAGGTTTAGTTGAATGTCAATTAATTACATTTAAAGTGAATAATGGATTGGGTGGAATTAATGAGTTGGAGATTAAGGATAACACATGTTGCATGATATGTGGGCTATATCATTAATATAGATACTGTAACTGTACATTGGCAAGAAGTGTGCCCTTTACACTCAGAATCTTCAAATACAGATATCATTATAAGTGGGCAATTGTAGTGTAATTTAGGTGCAGAAGAATCTGAACTTGCATCAAGTAATTATCAATATTGGTCGATTTGTGAGGAGAGATTGAGTAGACTGGGACTATTCTCATTAGAATTTACAAGAATGAGGTTGGGGTGGTGGGGGCGATGTTTCGTAGAAACATATAAAATTATGGAGGGAATAGATAAGGTAGAAACAGGGAGGTTGATTCCACCTGTGGGTGAAACTAGGACGAGGGGGCATAGCCTCAAAATAAGGGGGAGCAGATTTAGCACTGAGGTGAGGAGGAACTTCTCACAAAGGATTGTGAATCTGTGGAATTCCCTGCCCAGTGAACCAGTTGAGGCTACCTCGGTGAATGTTTTTAAAGGCAAAGATTGATTTTTGAACAGTAAAGGAATTAAGGGTTGTGGTGAGCGGGTGGGTAAGTGGAGCTGATCTGGAGTTATGATCTTATTGAATGGCAGAGCAGACTCAAGGAGTCCTATGGCCTACTCCTGATCCTATTTCTTTGTGTCCTTGTGCTCTAATGAATTCAGCATAGATATGCATCCAAAATAAAAAGAAAACCCTCTCCGCCAATCCAAATCTTTTATTTCAGTCCAGTTGTCATATGTGTACAACACCCCCTTTTTAAGGGGGCATATACTAAACTGCTGTCAATCACTCATCTGAAGCAGGATGTGAAGGAAAATATGTATTCAGACTTCAGTGGTGACTAATGTCTAACATGTGCACGTACTCCCAGTTAACGTTGTATGAGTATAGTGTCCAAATAAAGGATTCACAATATTATTTTGCCAATTGTGTTGTATGAATAATACAATTACATTGAATTAGCTGTTCTTTGTCCAATGTGTCTATTTCACTGCATGTTCAATATGTTAATGTGAAGGGCTAAAAGATATATTTTAGAGGTTCATGCAATACGTGTTTGCAAACATTGAAAATGCTGATGTACTTTTTTGACTAATCTTCAACAATCTATTGAACAATTTTAAAGGTGCTCAAATAACTTAAGTGTGAAAGAAATTAATTTCTCAGAAATGGATAGAATTGAAAGCCTTTATCCCAGCAATTGTGCATAAACAGATGGAAATCTGCCTCAATCAGCAGATTTTTTTTCACTTTTTTCCATTTCCTTAAACTTTTAGCTCAGTTACTGTACGAGATGAGGAATGTAGTTTGAATTTGAGAAGTTATACAGAAATTGTCTATGCCAGAATATAAGGACAGAGAAAACTAAACTAAATGCAGAAATAACAATTTTTGCCATGCTGGTTTTAAAAAGCTTATATTCCCCTCAAAAGTAAAAACTTAGTCACCCGTTTTCATTTAATGATCTCGAAATAACCACCAAGCTTTCAAAATTGAGAAAGAGTATGTGAATCTCAGTTAAATCTCTGAACCTGCATTTGTCCACTTTACATTCCTGGCAATTTTTTTAAACATTGTGCCTCATTTTTACTTATGACTAATAAGCTAGCAGCACCGTCACTCATTAGAGGTAATTAGCACATTTTTAAAAAAACCACGATGTCAGTTTGGGCAGCATCCCACACTGTTGTCACAAAGCCATTGTTATCATTAATGAAATATGAATTATTAAAAGTTACCACCTGAGCTTCGCACCCCTACCACATTTAATGATGATGTCTGTCGTGTGCCTGTGACCTCACTCTCAGCCCCTTCTCTCACACTGCGCCTCTCTGGCCTCTTGTCTCTTGCTGCTGCACTCCCTATTCTTAAATGCACCTACTGACAAAGAAAATTGAGTCCTTCTCAATATCTGTTGGTGAAAAATTTTGGCAGTACTGATACTATTAGTGACTTTGTAATATTCGCTGTACGTCTTCATTTTTTTAAAAAATGTGGTGAAACTCTTAACGTGCTCCCAAAATCTCAAAAAACTAATTTCTGGCTTAACTTGGCTTAAATCACCCATTGTTATTTTATCTTATGAGTGGCAGATAGTTTCAACAGAGATAACATGGAAACAGTGCAAATAAATAAGGATATACTGTGTCAGTGCTTCAGAATATAACGGGTATAAATGACTTGTGACAAAATGGCAGAATGCCTCTCTTGCAGTGTAGTTAAGCTGAAATTGTGGAGTATTGTTTCAAATTCTAACATTGTGAATAATTGAGTGAAAAGAATATTCGTCGTTATGTTTAAATGCTTGCTGTTGCACATGGTAAGCCATTATTGTCTGTAATGTAAATCTGTCCCTTGTTTTCACGTAGTATACTGCTCCTCAAATGTTGTGCAATTATCTCTCGTACCCTATAGAAAAACTTGTTTTGCTGACAACCAGCTGTATTAGTGAGTATTCTATGTACTCTCAATTAACCCCTGAAGGCATGAGTTAAAGCCCTTTGAGCTGCCATTGTGTGAATACCAGTCTTCCAATGTTACTGTTTCTCCAGTGGATATCTGACATCTAAGAGAGAGGTTCAGAATCAGCTCCCAAAGAGAGCACGTTTAAATCAAATTTTATCAGAGGCAGATAGTATTGTCTGATAACTTGCTTTAAATAATTGTTATTTCAAAGGTAAAGCTTCCTATTTAGAAGTCGGTTGAATTACTGAAATAATTGAATTTTGTACATTTATTCTGAAAACCAATCTCAGTCCAGATCAGATCTCCGTTCTGTAGCCTATTTGTTTTTCATTCATTGTGAGGATATGGGTGTCATTGACTGGCCCAGTAATTATTGCCCATCTCTACTTCCCTTTTTAGAAGATGGTGGAGAGCTGCTTTCTTAAATTTCTGTAGCCCTTGTGGTGTAGAGACCTCAAGAGTGCTGTCGGAAGGAACTCCTCAGGATTGTTAACCCTATATGTGATTTTCTCGCTGCGCAGAGTATTTAGTACTCAGTCACAGGCTGTCAGCCTTCGTAGCTTACGTTGCTTTTTTAGCCCAGAGGGAGTCGCAGGCAGTTGTTCATGGTAGGAAGCACTGAAGAGTAAAGGGGGTGGGTATGTCACTGTCCAGCACAGTGTTATGTCAACCTTACACCTGCAACATGTGCCAGCAGTTTATGTGGCCAACACGCTGCATGTGCTTTAAGCAATTGGTTATGTGTGAAGGTCAAATGGGAGCAATCTTCAGTGGGGTGAAGCGGAACTACATTCAGTTAGGGGATGCCACCAAAGTCAAAGGGCTAATTCTTGTGCAATGCAGAAGATCATTGACCACCTTTCTGCACTGTTAAACATCTGGCTTCATCCAGGACACAGCAGTGACCTGCACTATGATTTGTATCTCGGCCGTGTAGACTCCTGTGGCAGTCTGCAGGAGAAAGAAGGACACTTCTCTCTCTCTGACCCTGTCCCCCAACACTTCCCATGTCACTTTCCGCGAAGCAAAGCATGAGCTTCCCTTTGGGCCATATCCTCAGTAATGATGGTTAGCTCTTGTAATAAGAACCAGCTCCTGACTTGCAGCTTCAGAAATGGTGTGCACCAAATATGGTGCTGGCAACATGAACACTGATATGCTGCAGCAGCAGTGAGCACTTCCACCTATCTGACTGTGTGAGAGATTCCCTGAGAAAGGTGCTGAAGAGCCCACTCTCAAAATTAATAAGGTGAAGAGTGGAAGGTTGCGTATAAAAAGTGACCCTGGGGCCATGATGGACTGGGCACCAATGAATCTCTGTCAACAAAACAAATTTAATGAAAAATGATAAAATTCTGTCCAATGTTTCCCTTAACTGATTTAGGGATGACAATATTTTAAACTTTGCTAGCATCTTCCCCAAATGTAATACAAACATCCATGAACTCTGTTCTGCGAAGCTATTGCAACAGCTCTGAAAGGTTTGATACTTGGATCCTAATAAAGCTCTTTCTAAAATATATAGTAGCTAGTAATTGCATTTATGAGTATGTTTTGCTGCTGGACTTTGTAAATGCTGATGGTGAAATGGTTCTTAAATAGTTCTTTAATTAGTTGTTTCTCTTTTTTTTAACAATAGGATTGGTGAAGCTTGGAGTCCACTGTGTAACATGTCAAAAGGTCGCAATAAAGATTGTCAACAGGGAGAAGCTCAGTGAGTCGGTGCTAATGAAGGTAATGTCCTAATGGGAGGCCTTCAATTAAGTTCCCCTCCATTTTAAGGCAATCCTTAATATGATGAATGAAATTAATTATAAACAAATAATGGCCACAACTCGTACTGTAACTGTATATTCCATAATTATTGCAGAGACACCATGGAATTAAATATATTATTAATCTTGTAGGGAAATAGAATGTAAATTTGAATCCAATGGGTACAGTGCAATGAGCTGAATTCAATTATGAAGTGTTTTTGAGTTTTGCTGATGTGGTACTTCATGTGCAGTGCCTCAAGTTTGCTTTAGTGCATGGCTTTTTAGTCTCAGTATATTAGGAAATTTGTACAGGGCAAACTACTTGCTGAAGAGAGCTTGTGCAAATTCACATTGTTTAGTTTTCACACCTTGCATGTGCATGCCGGTAGCCTGATCAACAGCAGAAAGTGTGTAAGAGGTTTCTTTTACTGACGAATGTTCTGACATATAATTTGTGAAATTAAAACTCAGGTGGAAACAACCCAGTTTGAAGTGCATAGTTGCGAGGGAGCTCTGAAGAGCTAATTAAATCAGGGCAGATCTGATATAAACAGTGTTGCCTGCTACTGAAAATCTGCTTTATAAACAGTTTCCACAAATGTTATACGTAATATTAGGACATTGTCAGTGTTTTGCTATTGTTCTATTCTAGTTGTACCATGTGACCATGATCTCTCTGCTGTTTATTAATGGGTTTCTCTTTCATCATCATTCACAGCTGGAACAAAATGAAAGGAGGCAAACACTTTAACATTACTGTGGAATAGCTTCGAAACAATTTAGCAGTGAAGGGACTTTATTCAGATGTTAGCAGCATTTTAGGATAGATTAAAGTAGGAAGCAGTAACAAGAATGTTCTAACTGGATATGATCAGTTTTCACCTGAGCACTAAGCTTCTCATGTGATTGATATTGCAGCATAATCCCGTGACATTCATTAAGACACACAAATGTACAGCACAGAGGGAGGCCACTTAGTCCTCACACCTGTGCCGGCTCTGATTCTTCAACTGAAGCTATCTACCCTAATCCCATTTTATGCCTCTTTCTCCAACAGGCTAGGAAAGCTTTATTTCCAGCATACATTGTTAGCCCTGTTGTCAGTGCAGTCACACACACCAGCAGTTTAGTTCTGCTAATCACTAATACGATACCAATTTTACACAGTAAAAGATCTGTGTGGTTGAGAGCATTTGCTAGTAACAGTAATCTAACTTTTTTTAAAGTTACCTCATTAAAGTTGAAATAACTTCTTTACAATTAACAACACTGATTTGATGCTTGGACCGTTCGATTTGGAAATGTTGTGAAGAATAATCTGTATTTTGGAGGAAAAACAGTTTTTATGAATGTTCTGTGCTCCATTTTGATTTGTTTGTCTTCTGATCCTATATGCTCATTTAACTATATTTTGTTATATACTTACAAACAGAAAATGCTTCGCTGCATTGAATTCAGAATTTATCCCACTAGCTGTGGGAACTCCATATTTCAAGTTCTGGAAGTGAATGAGGAGGACAGATTCTGAATCAGATTTATCTGCTGTTAGATGTTTGGTTTGTATAGCAGCTGTCTTTTAGATTACCATACTTGTGAGGAGCTTTAATATTTTTGTGCATTCATGGGGCTTAAAGTTGAGTATTCTGGGCACATAGCTGAAGTATGGGTATACTTTACCTTGGCATTATATTTCCTGACCACTTCCAGGTTCAGTATGGAAGAAAAAGCATGGATAATTGCCAAAATAGAAGCAAGAAAAAACTCTAGCTAGTTGGGAGGGGTTAAACAAGTATATGTGTCAGAACTTTCTTCTTATGGTGTAACCCCTACCCTATCTTTGCCACTCCTCCAGCCCTCTAACCCCACTCTTTAAAGTCTTCATTCCTCTGATTCAGACTTCTGATTCTGTGCATTCCCCTGTATTCCTTTTCACCCTAGTATTTTCAGATGCATCTTCTGCTGTTGAACTGCCTTCTACTTCTGCATTCACGTTTTTAAAAAAAATTTCCACTTCTTTAACCATTCCAAATATCTGTACTTTAGCTCAATATTGACTGTAGTGGTGTTATCACAAATTATTGATTTCATTTACATTAAACATGCTGTAACTTTCTTAATCCTCATTTTAGACTTTAGCTATTTCAATTGCTGAAGAAATAATAGCCATAAATTTTTCATTGACCTCCTTTTCTGTAACTCAGTGCTGTTACCTCATCATTTAATAAATTTCTGGTAGCTTCTCATTGGCATTACTTTCTCAAGTTTCCTTCACACTCCTTAGATCCACCATCCTAGCTCTAGTGCTGCCAGATTTCAGGGCCGATCTCCCAATTGTACCAAACCATAAGCTGTCTTCCACAGTTAATAAAGGTGTGACCGCCTCTTGTGCTGCCCAACTTTGTTAGCGGTCTTAGCATTCTTTTCCCAGTGTTGCTAAATATCAGACAGTTTTATCTTGAATACGTCATCTCTTTTAACCACTAGCAATTAGAAAATTAAGTTAGCCCCATATTTCATCAAAACTGAATGTATTTGTATTTGTACCTTTGGACTATGGGAAATCAGATCCAATTCATAGAAGCAACTAACCATTCAAAACAATGACCAGTAAATAATGCCCACTAACCACAATGGAGGCTTTGTACCATAAATTTGATCACGTTTCAAAGTACAAGTTGTGTCACAGAATCTTGTCCCTTTTGATGTGATGCCATTTTGATCTTTGAAACAAAATGATACTGTAATGATTCGAACATTAAGATAAAATCATGGCTCTTTATAGATGTGTTGAAACAGAGGTGTTTCAGTGAAATCATTTATAAGACAATATTCTAATTTGGGGCTCAGTGATGACCATGATCTGCTGGTGTTAACACTACATTGATACTTATATTATTCAAGCCCCTCAACGATGTTATTACATTAAACTTCCTTGATGGGGAATGCACTGTGCTGTTTTACTTTTGCTGTTGAATATTAGATCCTTGCAGTGAACCATGACTTTTATAAATTAATTAGGATTCTCTTCCTGAGATCTATAATTTTTCATGAGTTTAATACAATTTCTGATAACATTTGAAGAAGCTAATCTGTATCTGGATTTGTCTCCAATTATTAGTAATGATTACAAAGTAACCTTCTGGACCTATTGGGTTGTCTTTAGGATTAATGGTCTATACAGTCCCTAGCAGAAAGTTTTCCACCATTCATGCCACATTGGAGAGGAAAGTCAAGTTGTCAGGTGTTATTGAACTGTAATTTAAAATCTGAAATAATGGAATAACTGAACATTGTATGCCACAAAGTTAGCATCCTTTCAAAGCCAATCAAATTCAGGCCCCAACCTAAATCTGTGGTAAAGTGGAATGAGATAGTAGTTTCATGTGGCTTTGGCTTAACACCACGTGGAGTGTAAAATCCATTGTGGTGCATGTCAAGCTTACAAACTACTTCGGGGATTCAGTGGATGGCTAAGCTTTTTAAAATCCGCTGAACTGACTTGTATGTTGGACAAGGGATTCTAAACTTTTTTTTTAATATAAACTTCCTTTGCTTTTGTCTGTTGGAAAAGGGCTATGCATGTGTTTCTATCCAAAGATGGACACTGTTTTCTTCTGGTTCAAACTATTAAAGTTTTAGCTTATTGGAAGTTGGGCGAAGTAAATATGGTGATGCCTGCCTGGAACCTGAAATGTGCTGTCAATGCTCCCCAACAGAATCAACTGATTAGTGTTGTTTGATCTGCAAAGGTGACCGGTGTGAAGATGGAAAATTACTGTCTGCCACTTTTCCCAGTCACTCTTTCCCTGAGGTTTGGACCTTGGACTTCCAGTGGGTTCATCCACACTTGTGGATGTGATATTGCAGTATTTTGTTGTTGCTTTCTGCAGAATGGCTGATCAGGAGACACTCCCATTCACCAGTCAGGCATACTGGAAGATCATCAGACTGATCACAACTATTTGTCAATGTTATGAATGCAATTCCATAGCCAATAGGTCCTCGCATGGGTCTCGGACCCAGATCTACTGGCTCAGAGCTTTGGATGCTACCACTAGACTACAGAACCCCCTAACTTTCAGTCTGTCATCCTGGAACACAGGTGTCATTAGACACGTGTGGTTGTCACTGGGATATTTTTAGAAACAGTTTGTTCAGGTGATCTTGAGAGCAAGTCTTCCAGAAGCTTCTCAGGAGAATAACAATGCCAGTTTTTCCAACTATCAGACTGAACCCTCGCAAGGTTTTTCTCAAAGTTGTGAAAGGATAAATCAGATGTAGCAAACTATACTCTAACTGATTTTTCCAAACAGAAGTCAATAATAACAAAAATCGCACCATAAACTCACTCATATGAGTTCTTTGTCACAAAAGCCCCAGCATTTGCAGGACTTTGTAGGTTTACTTAGCTTAATTTTCTCTGCCTGTAAGTGTTATACCTTTTTTAAAAAATCAAATTGTTTTTCCAACAATAAGCCCAGGCAGCACTCAACTTTCCAAACAAATCCGTTTCAACCATCTTCTAAATATAAGCCTCAAAAAAAATATTGTAACTTCATAACACAATTAGTGCCCTCACTGTTGCCAGTAAAAGCCTAATCAATGGCCATTTCTTGGTTATGTCATTCTATGCAATGTTTGAGGCAGAATAGTATTATAAGTGTCATGTAAAAAATTGTTAGACAGAGTGTTCAAAAGGGAAATGCAAATTTCATGCTGAATGCACGCAGTTCTAAATCTCATTGCTACAGTCAGCAAGAAAATTTAAAGTCAACATTAGATTGCAACATTTCACATTTGGAGCTGTAACTTTTTATTATACAATTGTCTGTGCTTAGCAGAAAATTTGAGGTTTTCTGACTATAATTTCCCATCAAACATTAGAAAATGCACATTTATTGCTTTTTGTTTGGAATTTGTATGAACTTGACTTGATGTTTGCATGTTGTGTTAAGCATTAGATTTTAAACACAATCG